ATACAAGTGTAAAATAGAATCATGACTCAATTTTTACCCTATGAATAAATGGACATTTTCAGTGATTCCACAGATGATCATTCACAGTTACATCACTTGGTTTAAACAGGCCAATGAGGCCTTAAAATGGCCAGTTAACCCTGAATCGTATAATTCAAATCGATAAATTTATATCAAATGAATCACATTTCATTTTATGTTAAGCAAATCACAAATAAACCTGTTTTGTTTTTTTTTTAAAACAATAACAGGTTAAAATCCCAGCTACTCGGAAGGCTAAGGCAGGAAAATCACTTGAACCCAGGAGGCAGAGGTTGCCGTAAGCCAAGATCTCACCAGTGTACTCCAGCCTGGGCTAACAGAGGGAGACTCCATCTCAAAAATAAAATAACAGGTTAAATCAGCCTCTTATTTTAAAACAGCCCCATCACCATGACTAGCACAGCTAACTCTGGCCAAAGAACCCCAACATGTAACGTCCCAGCAAGAATAGATGAGTAGATCAGCATAAATCTTTTCACACTGAATGGATTTTCCTACAAAATAGGGTTCTCATTGGAAAGCAGAGAAGTATATAGGCCAGGAGATTGCCCAAGTAAGGTGTGGTAGGAGAGAGTCCTTTGTGGAATCAGACAACAGGTGACAACACGTGTGGAGGAGTGAGGATGAAAGTGACTAGAAGAATAGCAAAGCTCTCATGGATGTTATACATTATATGCATTTACGAGATGAAAGGCTATTCAAAATTTTACAAAGGTCAAATCAGAGCACCTTTATAAGCCAGGTTCCTCTGTTACCTATGACTTCGTACTTCCCTACAGTGATCTGCTGCTTAATGATGGGCAAAGAACAGGACTAGCTTTGAGCAAATTATGAGGGATGACAGCTTGGAGTTTGCTTCCCTTCCTTTTTCTGTTTTCACTTTCCTCTAGAGCTGTCCCCTCTATTTACTAACCTTTAAGAGACAATACCCACCTGCATTCTTCTAAGGGCTTTTCTCCCCAACCAATTATGCAAATTGGAGCAAATCAGACAACCTTAGTCATACACGTGTACATAAATAGCTAATAAATGTGCATATGACATCGCTCCTAGGAGAAAAGCCTTAAGGCTAAGAGATTAATTTCCAATTGTGAAATTGCAACCATCCAGGAATTGGGCAGAGAGAACCCTCCTATGACATCATCCTGCCCCTTTGCTGCCAAGAATGCCTTAAAGGCATAAAGCAGTTGCTGCCTGGTTGGCTTGTTCATGAAGATTCATACTTACCAAAGAATTCCTTGGTGCAACCTCAAGCTACAAAATTGTTGCGAAGAATATTTACATTTACATCTTAAATGCAAATACCTAGAGTGGAAACATGTATTTTTGATTTGGATGGAGGACAATATTTTTAGGTCCTCCCCTGCTGTTAGTAAATTTACAGAATTAAAACACAAGGAGCCAATAATTTTTTAAATAGTGATGTTAAACTGAGTATGTTCAGGCACCTAAGGCGTGTTATGTGCTTTACAAAGAACTGAGAATGTGGTTTTAACAAAATGTTTTCACCCCGGACACCACAAACGCATGTGCAGTTTCGTATTTGGCTCCTGAGAAAATGTCTTACAAAATAGGCCTCAAACCAAATGCCAAAAGACGACTGTCTCTCCTGCTATATTACTTCATCCTACACTGAGTTAGTTATTCAACAAATGACATTCAGTTATAGCCTAGAAAATATTTGTAGTAGAGACAGGGTTTCACCATGTTGGCCAGGCTGGTCTCGAACTCCTGACCTTGTGATCTGCAAAATATAAAACTTAGCCTAGTGTGGTGGCGCCTGTCTGTAATCCCAGCTACTCAGGAAGCTGAGGCAGGAGAATTGCTTGACTCGAGAGGCGGAGGTTGCAGTAACCCAAGATCACACCACTGTACTCCAGCCTGGGTGGTGACAGAGCAAAACTCTATCTAAAAAAAAAAAAAAAAAAAAAAGGAAAGAAAGAAAGGAAGGAAGGAAGGAAGGAAGGAAGGAGAAAATAATAGTTTTGCCTTGTTTTGGTTTTGCTTCGTTTCCTGACTTCATTCATGAGGCAAAAGGAATGACAGCCAGCAGAGCAGGCCCTGTGGAGCTCCTGCACTTGCAAGCGCTCACATCCTGCAGGAAGAACTGGTATGCACCTGTACACACAGGAAAAGGCCACTGAGAGTCAAACACCACTAACACTAATTTGTGAACTTTGGTGAGGTGTGAGGTATTATCGCAGGGTAGGGTTTCTTATTGTTGCTGCTGTTTACTGAGGTATAATTTCCACACAGTAAAATTAAACATTTTTAGGCACACAGTTCTCTGAATTTTGACAAACTTAGTGATGTGAGTACAAAAGCAATCAAAATTCTACCACAAAAAATAATTCTTTGTGCCCCTTTCTAGCCAATCCCCTCCCCTCACCCCCAGTCCTTGGCAACTGCTGATCTGGTTTCTATTTCCATTGTTTTTCCCTTTCTAGAATATTATATAAACGGAATCATACAGTGTATGACCATTTGTGTCTGGCTTCGTTCACCTAGAAAAATGCTTTTGAGATTCTCCATGTTGTTGCATGCATCAGTTCTGTATTCCTTCTTATTGCCAAACAGTATTGCATTTACAGACACACTACAATTTGTTTATTCACTAGTTGAGGGACATTGGTTTCCAGCTTTTCATGATTATGAATAAAGCTGCTGTAAAAACTTGTTGATAGGTTTTTCAGTGGACATCTGTCTTTGTTTCTCTTAGATAAATACCCAGGAGTGAGACTGCTGGGTTGTATGTTTTGTGTAAATTTAACTTTATAAGAAACTTCAAAACTGACTTCCATAGTGGAAGTCTATTCCCACCAGTAGTGTATGATAGTCCAGCAACGTATTATAGCTCTGAATCCTTGTCAGTATCAGATGTTGTCAGTTACCTTGATTTGAGCCATTTTATTAGTAATCCATGAACTTTCGATCTAGGCTGGGCCATAAAATTAAACTTTCTGCTAGCTATGTGTACTTGGTTGAATAAGCGTCCTTCCAAAATACACATTCACCTGGAACCTCAGGATGTGATCTTATTTGGAAGTAGGATCTTTGCATATGTAATTAAATTTAGATGAAGGCATACTGGGTTGAAGAGGGCCTTAATCCCAATGACCGGTGTCCTTATAAGTAGGCCACGTGACACAGGGACACACAGAAGACAGCATCCTGTGACAGTAGAGGCAGAGATTGGAGCTATGCTGCAGCAAGCCAAGGAATACCAGAATCCCCAGCAGCCATTAGGGCCAAGCAAGGATTCTTCCTCAGTCTCGGAGAGAGCGTGGCCCTGAATACATCTTGATTTCAGACTTCTGGCCTCCAGAGCTATGTGAGAATACATTTCTGTTTGTTTTAAGTCACCCAGTTTGTGATAATTTGTTAGGGCAGCCCTAGAACTAAAACACTATGATACAATTTACAGACTACAACAATACAAATAGGTTTATAATTGACTCATATGAAGCCTTCTGAGGATAAAAGCATAATAATTGTTTGTATAAAATTCATTCTAATTAGTTCAAGCATATTACTAGAAGCCTAATTTACTAATATGCATACAAATTCTTGGGCTAAGTTTTTGGCTATTCTATAATTCAACATTTCACTCATTGGACTGAACTTCTGCTAATGAGCCAAGATTAGTGAAGACCACTGTTTACACTGTTTATCATGAATTAAGAGTAGTGCAGAAGCACAATCCCAGTGGTTCCTATCTGTGTCCATTGAATATGTGAGACCCACATTTTGCAGAACGTTCTACAAAGAATTAGGAGATGAACTGTCTTTTAGTTTAGTCATTTGTGGTGTAATGTACTGGAATGCACCTTTAAAGATTTTTAATTGTAAAATTATGTGTTTATCTTCCCTACCATGATGTGTAGTTGTGAAAAACAAGACTTCGGTGGTAGAGACAGTTTTGGTTGTTTCATAAAGAACAGATCACATTTCAGTTTTAGCACAAAGCTCTTCTAGCCCCTGATGAAGAAAATTATCCAGCTCTCAACCCCTATTAGACTTCCTTGGGCAGGCAGAGGGATCTCCCTCCCCAACCGACCCCAAAACCTTTGAAAGAAAGAAGTTGGTTCTTCTGTTACACTATTATTCAATTATAAACCTACTAATTCAATAACAGAGAATAAAAGAATAGTTACAGTCAATAGCATGTTGTGGTTTCTGCTACTAAAACTTTCTGAAAACCTATTGCAAATAGATACTGAGGCAATAGTAACACAGGAGGGCAGGTGCAGATGTGGGAGCAGGAATCCCACATTTTTACATTCATTCCTCTATACTATATAAACCAGACTTTCTCCCCATGAACAACATAAGGTAATAACAAGCCTACCAGGTGAACATTAGATGTCATTATATGGACTTCTGGGAGGAGTCTGGCACTCACTGAGCCTCTTATGAGCACTTTTCTATGTTGTGCACTGTGGTTACCAGCTGTACCATGCCTATTTCACAGGAATAGCTGGTGAATACAATCATGACTTCCATAAAATTTGCAGAGCAAAGCAGGCTGTCATCCAAACAGAGTCCAAAAATGTTCAGTGATCCGAACAAAAGTCCGGCCCATTTTCACCACTCCTGCTCTGATAAGCATTCATTGTCCTTTGAGTGTTTTGGGAGAGCACAGAGTTGACCTATTTTGGGGGACAAGGACTTATAAGATTGGACCACTCTGTTCCAAGTTTGGGCAATTTCAAAGGATAGGGCTTTGGGGAATTGGAACAACTTGTTCAACTTCATTGTCTTTGGGTCTCACTAAACATAGAAACCAGACTCCCTCTTAATCCCCATCCCACGTGTTGAAAACCATAAACTCAAGTTACCACAAATAAAAGGCCATGGAAGAGTGCCCAGATGCCCTTCGGGATGGGATGACCCAGTTAGGAGGTAGCAATGTTTGGGGTTGAGATTGTCCCTCTATTAGAAGCAGACAGAGAAAAAGCTATGACCAAAATGTTTGCATGGTTTAATTAAATATCAACAGAAATCTCTATTCACTTTAAAGCTCCAGCGCACCAGACAAGGGATCCAGGCAGGAGCCAAAACCACCGTTGCAGATATGCTCCCAGTTTCACCAGCTAATTAGATGTTAAACTTACATTGTAACAATCAACCTGATATTATTGCCTACTGCAGATAGAACTAGAATTGTAATTAGGTCAGAATTCTAGCTGGGATTGTGTAGGTGGACAAATTATTTCAGGATATTTTGATATCACTGCTATAATTTATGGTAAAGACAGTTGGGATCATACTGGCAAACTAAGTACCTGCCTATACTACCTCAGGCCTAAAAATGCCATTGATTACCCCCCAAAAACTGAGAAAATATCTACTACAGGACGGAAAAAGACAAAATAGGGGCACTAACACACCAGAAGCACTGAAGGCTTTCTGAAAGAGTAATCAGGCCTGATGTTTGTAGTTTTAAAGTTTATTTTGCAAACAAAGGTAGAAACAGAGTCTGGAGCTCAGATGCCACCACCAGAGAGGGTAGCTGTTCAGCCTCTCTCCTGTGCAAATTAACCTAATCCTGAACCTGACTTGGGTTAATTCGCACAATTTCAGGTACCATGCTAGGTATACCACAAATATACCTCAGGGACCTCAATTGCAAAAACCTGGACCACAAACGTTGGGGCTGCAGAGTTAACTAGGTTAATAAATTCTTTCTGAGGTAAAGCAGGTAACACCCACCAATAAAAAGAATGAAACTTCATTGTCCCATTGGCATCCTCTGGTGTGCAGGTGTTCTTCAGAGTAAAATCCATGGTGTGCCCCATCGCCGATTCCTGACAAGGCGGGAGGCGGGAGGCGGGAGGCGGGGGGCGGGGGGCGGCGGACGGAAAAAACCTGAGATAAGAAATCAGAGAATACAAGTCTCTTTTAAACAAAAAACAGTGAATGTTAGAGTACACCCACCATTGGGGTAGCACGTAATAATCTCTCAGCATCACTGACTCCAGCACAGCTGGTCCCCTGGAAGAGGGACGTTGCAGGAAGGTTTTGTGTGTGACCAAGCAATTGGCCACCCCACGCCTTCAGCCTCCCAGCTGAGTCCTGGCCCCCGCGGGTCCCCTCCCCCTCCATCCTCCAAACCCAGGCAGCGCCCGCCCCTGCCCCCGCTGATTGACAGGCCGTGCAGCTACTCCTGGGAGCCCGGCTTTCGTGCGCAACCCGGGCAGAGGGGACTATTTCTGCAGTAGCCAATAGGAGCCAGGAGGCAGGGCGCGGGAGAGCGGCGCGGTCAGGCGCTCCGCTCCAGAGTTGAGTGCAGGTGAGCTCCTGCGCGTTCCGGGGACGCCGCTTCCTCGAGTTACCTTCCCGCCGTTACCCGAGGCGCCCCAGAGGTAGTCTCCTCCAGGCCCTCCCTCCCATTGCCCCAAATTAATGCTGACTGAACGGATCGGTGCGAGGGTGAGTCCACGGGTGTGGGTGGCTTCCCTCCCGGGGACCCACACGGCTCCTCTGGGCCCCTAAAGCAACGCCCCCTCCTTGCCACTGCACATCTGAGAAGCCCAGGCCTCGGTGGGCGGGATGACTGGAAATTGGGAACATAGCCTACGCCGCGACCCTTCTGGGTGGCTAGGGTGGAATCCTGGTGGAGAAGATGGACCCCCTGCCCTTGACTTCTATCCGAGCTACACAAACCTACTCCTTCTGCACTTTCCCTCTTCCCTTTAATTGGTGCCCCTTCCTTCTTGATCTCCAAGTCTTGTTTATGGAGGAGGGGTTGGAGGGGAGAAAGAACTGGAAAGTACTCAAGGAAATCTGGAGCCAGATCCAGGGATTCCACTGTTTTGTGCAGCATTTTGTGCACGAAAAAGAAAAAAAAAGTCTGATTTTCATTCCCCACCCCCACGTATTTATTTCTCTGTGTCATGGATGTGATGTTGAGTCTTCTTGCCAGACATTCCTAAGCTTTAGACAACACTTAATCTTTGCTGACTTTCGTTGGTCCCAAGAAAGCAATTTTCTCCTGCTTACACTTTTGCCGAATTAATTTGCTAAGATAGATGAAAATCAGGTGTTCCATGTAGTTTATTTTCTGTGTTTTTAGCTTTAAATTACATTTGGTTGATACTAGCCTTCCTTGTTTTAAAAAGGTGGGAGAGAAAATTAGGGGGAGAAAGGACAGAGAGCAACTACCGTCCATAGCCAGATAGGTGAGTAAATGTATTTGCAGTAACCTATATGCTATTCCCTGCTGCAACTATTTTTAATGTTCCTTCCAGAATCAGAAAGAGTATTGCCATCTAAGAAATCGTTTTTAAATATAACATTTGAGCCATCATCTTGAGAGCAATACCTAAAACAATTTCAGTTTATGAAATGTCTAGGTACGGTGAAAGCACAGTTTAAAACCAGCAAAACAGAATTTATTGCCCTCAGCCAATACCCACAATGTACATATACCTTGTACTCCTGAAAGCAAAGCAAGCATGCCAAGTAGTTTTTATTTACCTGCAGCTATAATACAGCAAGGCGAAACAGGATGTATTTTTGAAGTTTAAAGATGTGTTCAGGCCGGCTGCCGTTGCTCATGCTTGTAATCACAGCGCTTTGGGAGGCCGAGGTGGGTGAATCACGTGAGGTCAGGAGTTTGAGACCAGGCTGGCCAACAGGGCGAAACCCTTTCTACTAAAAATACAAAAATTAGCCAGGTGTGGTGGCGGGCGCCTGTAGTCCCAGCTATTCGGGAGGCTGAGGCAGGAGAGTTGCTTGAACCCGGGAGGCGGAAGTTGCAGTAAGCTGAGATCGTGCCACTGCACTCCAGCTTGGGCAACAGAGTGAGACTCCCTCTCAAACAAACAAACAAAAGTCTTCTGCTTAGGAAGATATCAAAAGCCAGTTTCAAGAGATTTATTTGTACAAGTATGGTTTGATCTAACTTTTGCTGGATTTATAAATACCTTCATGCAGGAATGGACAGAAAAAGGAGAGAACAAAAGATCCTTGCTGGATGAAAACTGACAAAATGTATATATCTATTGTTTATCCATACAGCATCTTATTAGCTTTCTCCAATAGAATGAAAGTATTTTAGAAATATACACAGATGAGGGGAAAAGTCCAACAACCTTGATTCAGAGATTTAAACCAGGGAAATGCTTTTACTACACATATTAATGATGAGATTAAATTTTGACAAATTTTAACATTAGGAAAGTCAGCAACAAATTTCAGAATTGTATTTCTGTTAATATTTAGTTTACAATCTAATTAGTTTAGAGAAGGCTATGATTTGATTATTAATAAATGAATGCAGATTACTTTTCAATAAATATATCTGGATGTCACAAATGTCATTTCATTTCAAGAAACCAAATTCATCTGTATTCCTCTCTCTTTAGTAATACTTCTTTCATCTGTGATGAACCAAACATAGGGGTTGAAAATAGAAGTGTGCATATACATATATATACACAGTATATATATGCACCATTATTTGATTTGCTAATGATACTTCATGGTTTCTAGGTTGCCATAGTTGTTCTAGCCATAATGTTAAGTATGTTCACAGGTATTTGACTATAAAAAAGTTTCTGACCAGAAGTCAGAAATCTGGATCAAACTGAAAATGTTTCTAAAAAGTTTTATGTAAATGATGTCGTATTTTAAAATGCTGTTGAAGAGCTCACTTAATTCTTTTGAGGGATATTTAGATAAATTATCAGAAGGGAAAAAGTTGTTTAAATGCAATTAAACTTATTAGCTTTATTATTCATTTAGCCCCAGGTCTCTTGTATAATATGGAGTTCTGTGACATAATTCTTCCAGGCTGTGATTTATGATATAACTAAGATTGCTAAACACTGTTACTCTGAGTTTGGGGTAAAGTATACAAAACAAAATTATTGCCATTAATTTCTATGTGTTTATTCTACAGATTATTTTACGCTGAACTGATCAAGTACTTTGAAAATGACTTCGAAATTTCTCTTGGTGTCCTTCATACTTGCTGCACTGAGTCTTTTAACCACCTTTTCTCACCAACCAGACCAGCAAAATGTTCTACTAGTTTCTTTTGATGGATTCCGTTGGGATTACTTATATAAAGTTCCAACGCCCCATTTTCATTATGTTATGAAATATGGTGTTCACGTGAAGCAAGTTACTAATGTTTTTATTACAAAAACCTACCCTAACCATTATACTTTGGTAACTGGCCTTTTTGCAGAGAATCATGGGATTGTTGCAAATGATATGTTTGATCCTATTCAGAACAAATCTTTCTCCTTGGATCACATGAATATTTATGATTCCAAGTTTTGGGAAGAAGCGACACCAATATGGATCACAAATCAGAGGGCAGGACATACTAGTGGTGCAGCCATGTGGCCCGGAACAGATGTAGAAATACATAAGTGCTTTCCTACTCATTACATGCCTTACAATGAGTCAGTTTCATTTGAAGATAGAGTTGCCAAAATTATCGAATGGTTTACATCAGAAGAGCCCATAAATCTTGGTCTTCTCTATTGGGAAGACCCTGATGACATGGGCCACCATTTGGGACCTGACAGTCCGCTCATGGGGCCTGTCATTTCAGATATTGACAACAAGTTAGGATATCTCATACAAATGCTAAAAAAGGCAAAGTTGTGGGACACTCTGAACCTAATCATCACAAGTGATCACGGAATGACGCAGTGCTCTGAGGAAAGGTTAATAGAACTTGACCAGTACCTGGATAAAGACCACTATACCCTGATTGATCAATCACCAGTAGCAGCCATCTTGCCAAAAGAAGGTAAGGCTGACTGAATGGTGAGCTGAGGCTAGATGTGCATTTGCCCAGTGTGATCAAATGAATAGGGGATTTCTGTTGCTGCGCCTTTAAAGTAGACTTGCCTGTGTCATGGTAATATTCTGGGATTTAATCCTCAGACTCTGAAAAGACAAAATCTCTTTTCTCAAAGCCTAATTTTTTTTCCTTTTTCCTAGAATACTGAAATTGATGCGCTCTATATATGTATGGCAGTAGGTTTTAACCATTTTGGAATCATAGAATATAATGAAAGCTATAGCCTCCCTTCTCAGAAAAATTGAGATGGAGAGATACATACAAAACTTGAATACATGTACAGTTATTTCATAGAAGCCCCAAAGCCTTTTATAGACTCCTAATTCGGACCTGCTTAACAAGGAAGCTGTGGAGGATAAGAAGGAGGAAGAGCTTTGGTCAATCTGAGGTTTATTTTCCTTATAAGTGTGGAAACTGATAACAATATCTTAAACTTTTTACAAACCTCTCCTGGAATCCTCATACCAAACCTGTCACCTCAGCATTGTCTCCATTTTAAAGACAAGTAAATGACAGGTAAATGGCCTCAAAAGATTTAATATCCCGAGGTCACAAAATAAGTGACAACACAACTCAGGCATGCTCTTTGACATATTTTATCACCTTGCAGTGTTGGTCTTAGGCATCAAATGAGAGAGCAGATTTTGAAAAGCTATAATATCTCACAAATGAGAATTCCATCCCTCAGAGGGGAATTAGGAGAATCATATGAAACAGCAAATGTTAAACTATGTGTGTGTTTTACACACACAGTTTTCAGCAAACAGCCCTTTTTTTGTTGTTTAAGAAAATTAGCTAGGAGTGGTTGATCACGCCTATAATCTCAGCGCTTTGGGAGGCCAAGGCAGTAGGGTCACTTGAGGCCAGGAGTTTGAGGCCAGCCTGGGCAACATAGCAAGACCCTGTTGCTAAAAAAAAAAAAAAAAAAAAAAAATAGCCTGGCGTGGTAGCACATGCCTGCATCCCAGGCTGAGGTGGAAGGATTGCTTGAGCCCAGGAGTTCCAGGTTACAGTGAGCTGTGATCGTATCACTGCACTCCAGCTTGGGCGACACGGAGACCCAGTTGAACGAAAAAAAGAGTCGGGGGGGAAGAGAGAGAGAGGGAGGGAAGAGAAGGGGATGAAGGAGAGAGGGAGGGAGGGAGGAAGGGAAGGGGAAGGGGGGAAAATTATGTTAACCCTTCAATCTCCTTTATAAAATTGAAATGTCCTCTTGTGGTGATGTGGAAGGTAAGGATGAAACCTCAGCAATGGATTTGAAAGACAGGAGAAGGATGAAAGACAGTGCCC